GGTTTTAAACATGTTTTATCACATCCATAGCAACAAATAATGAAGAACAGATATTATTTCTTTAAAGCTCACATCTTTATATCGTCTGAGTACTTACAAGTTCTCTAGTTAGGCTGATTTATAGCTCATTAATTTACTTAAACATATCTATTAAAACAATATGTTCTTTGACAGTAAGGAAGAAATGCAGTCTGTCTCTCACAGCTCACACTCCACTCTGCTTGGAACTGGCAAGTGGATGAGCCTCATTACATGGGCTCCGCTACCTGCCTGTTTTAAAATAACTTCAAAACAAAAAACACATTTTATTCACTTTTTAAAAATGTGATTTATAGCACATAGAGTTAAATTGAATATTGATCCTTGAAAAGCAAATGTGTCCTGTAAAATAAATGACAGAACAAAAGAATACAATAGAAGATTATAGAGTGATTGATTATCCAAAGCCTGGAGAGATAGGAACTTCCCCCGTATATGTCATCTTCTCTAGGCATCTGTAGCTCTGAGAGGGTGACAGGGATGAAGTGTTAGAGGAGATTAGTCGCACCCTGACATGAACTGTTACATTTTATAAAAAGATTGAGGAAGGCTGGTAACAAATCATCTCTAAAAAGGAATTTGAGAAACGAGGAATGGAGCATAAGATCAATAAGATCTATGATATAACTCCGGGAAGGGACACCAGGGAATATCTTCTAATTTCTCAAACCTTGAAACACTTTCAAAAAGAATTTAAGTCAGTGAAAAATAATCACGATGACAACACCACAAACTGGCATATTGCTGTCATTGATTGGATATGTCAGGCAAATTGTGAATATCATTCTTATGAGCAGGCTTGTTAAGGTAATATCTTCATAATCTAGAGGGGCTAAGTGCAGAATCTTCCTGGCATCCTTCCCAAATCCCCTCTCTGGGCCTTTGGCATTTTTCCCTGGAACATATTGTAGACCTGAAACCTTGTCATTTCAGAAACTACTTTTTTACCTTCAAAGGAAAATGGCAATGAGTCCAGTACTAGCTCTTGGGAAACAAGAAAATTATGTAGAACATTGTCTTTTCTCCTTTTCTACAAGACCAATGCTGTATCAAACTTTAGGGTACATCAGTCAGAAACTGATGGAGATAATGGTGATGGCAATGACAATAATAGTAGTAGGAAAAATAGAAGACAGAGAAAACCCAGATGGATCCATTGTGCTTTATAACATTCCTGATTAAAAACAATTCTATTACCTCTGAGTAATCAAGTGTCCCACTTGCTATGTAAATGGCAGGTAGTAAAATCTTCACTTAGACACCATTTAGTGAACAAGGAGGATCCTGTAACAAAAAACCCTCAAGTTGGATTTATGTACATGAGAACAAGACCGTGAAAGATCTTGTCTTTGGGTAGGTTTTATTTTATTTTTTAAGAGAGAGATTTTTGCTATAGGACATGTGTGCTTGCCAAAGAGACAGAGAGACAGAAAGTAAGAAGTCACCTTTGGGGAGATGGCCATGCTGCAATCCCTTCTCCTCCACTCTCTCCTTGAGATTTTTGGGCATGCGTGCACATGCGCATGGCATGAGTATTAAGCTGCCGGGTTTGGGACTTGAACCACTGTTGACTATGTGGGAATACAACAATGTAATTATTACACCATCTGTTGGTCTCAGATTTTGCTTTTTTATTTAACATTTGGTTTTTCAAATATTTTGAGACTCTGACAAAGACATCTTTTAATTTAAAAACTATTTTGTTAGCTGACAGAAAGTCTCATTGAAGGAACAATGTGGTAATCAATTAGAAGCTCACATTGCATTTAATTCTATTTCTAGTAGTTCCAGGAGTTTGAGAATATAATTGAGATTTATATATTTTTTTATTCATATCTTTATATATATGGCAACTCATGGTACAAACTAGGAATAATGGAAAACAAAAAAATTGAAAAAGAGACAAAATAAAATAAAACACAGAAATATACAAATTGTAGTGATCCTGATTTTTCTTTACAAAACTTGAGTTCTAGCAAGCAGTTAGAGCATTACTGGGCGTTCAAACATTATCTTTCAAGCATAAAACAGGCCATCCTGATACTGAGCAAAAGCGTTGGGTCTATAGATAAACTGAGCCACATGTGAAGGTTTCAGCTAGATTGTCTGGCCTCACATTTTTATAGAACTGATGTAATTTGAGAATCAGGTGGGTCTGAATTGTTAAGTCTTGGGAAGACAGTTGCTTAGTAGCAGTGACAGGTCTTGTCCCTGCTGTAGCGGATTGACTTGAGGTAGTGAGCTGTTCTACTTATTCTCTCAAGCTGAGGCCTCTACCTATAAAGTGAACTATTAGTGAGAGGATTTTGTCTTCTCAGCTACTATTCAGATGCAATTACCAAATGATACCATCATCTCACTCTGGGGATTTGTCAGATCAAGAGCTTTTTGAGGATAGAGACTGTGTCATCCTTTTATGTATCTCTAATACCTTGCATCATATCTGTCCTATTGTTAGTACTGGGAGATGTTTGTGAAATTAATGAATGGCTGAGTAAGTTGTTTCCTACAATCAGGACTTAGAATGGTCTTAAGGAGATTCGGACATAAAAGGGTTTTCTACTTTCTGTCATTAGGGCTTCCCCTATTGGTGAATTTATTTTTCAATGCAGTATTTATTGTTGTTTTCAGCTTAAAATTTCTTTAGAAGCACAGGTGGTATTATAAACATAATTATATAAATAACATTAGAAGGAATAAATTATCTATTACTTTCCAGGAAACTGTGTTTTGTTTCTATTTGTCTATGCATTTATATATCTTTTTTGTTGTTTTTGGTATTTTTATGATTAGAACCCAGATTTAATTTGGTATACTAAATTTTCAACTTAACATAAACTTTTTACATATAGTATTATATAGTTATAATTTTAAATGGCTATACATTTAAAATTATAATTCCTGGGGACCAGCAGTTAGCGAAATGGCTATGTTGCTGGACTCCCATGTAGTTGACCGCGGTTCGAGTCCCGGACCTGGTGGCTTAAAACTCATGCCGGGTGCGTGTGTGTGCGTGCCCAAGATCCTGAGAGGAGAATGGAGGAGAAGGGATTGTGGTGTGGCCATCTCCCCCTGGGGGGTGATTTCTTGCTTTCTATCTCTCTGTCTCTCTCTGTCTGTCTGGCAAGTGCACATGCCCTATAGCAAAAACTCTTCAAAAAAAAATAATTATATTTCCTGCCCTCCTCCATCCCTGTTCAACCCTCTATTTTTCTATCTGCTTTGTCTTTTTAGTGAATTCCCACTTTGCTTTCAAGGTCCCACTTAACTTTCTAACAATTCCTTATTTCTGTTGACTTTTATAGTCCGAGTAATTTACATTTACATGAACTATAAAACTTGTGATATTTATTATATTGTAACTTTTTTCTTTTTATGAAGATTTTGAGAGGTGAGGTACATCCGAGGATAGATTCTACAACTCTGTGTCCTGATAACTGACTTAGTGATGGTGACATAGTGGGCACTTGACTAATATTTTTGAATGCCATTGTAAGGTCTGGAAATGAATGAATAAGATAGGATTTCTGAGTTTGATGCTTAAAGTATAGTCGCAGAGACATCTAGAAATTGCATTTCTGGAGCTGTGTATGTGGTACTAGAAAAATCCAGAGGAGGCTGACATATTTATGTCATAGGTGTCTCTTATGATCTTTTTCCCTGTATATCCAGGAATGGTATGGCTAGACTTAAAGAGTACTAACAATTTGTGGCTCTTGATTTGTTTTGTTGAAATATTTCCCAAATAATTCTGTTTGTTCATGCCTTGTTTGCCCATGTCATTTTCTTATTTACATGTGGTATCTTGAAATGTATTTTTTCACACAGTTGTATAATCTCCTTGTATAATTGTGGGAGTCAGAATTCTAAGATGTTTCTCAAGATCTGACATGCCTTCTCCCCTGGTGTACAGGCCTTGAGTAATCTTTAGGACTGTAAATTTGATGGCTTTTACTCCCACAATTAAGTTATATGATGCACTTGCCTTTATGAATAGAAGATTATCAGTATGGATCTGAACCTACATTAGTAAATATAATCACATTAATTAAATCTACTAAAATTTTTCCTGATAAGTTTTAGCATTTTTTCAAGTGTAGAACACATTAGGCTGGGTGGTATGGGTAGGACTCTGAGAAGAGTCTGAGTCTCAAATGATTAATTTGAAGGGCTGGATGGTGGTACAGTGGTAAAATGTCATGCTCTGTTAGACCCCATGGTAAGATTTCTGGCTCACATTCAGAGACCTACCTAAGTTATGCCTGGCATGCCTGCACCTATCGTAAGGGCTGGCTGAAGTTGGGGTGGATTGCAGAGTTGAGATGCTGTCAGGGGTGTTGTATCCTTTTCTTTCTCCCCCCCTATCTTTCTAACTCATGGAATAAATAAATAAACTTTTTTAAAAAAGACCTTACAATTATGGATTTGATTGGATTCTTTCACTGGCATTCTTTTTGCACAGTAATTTGTAACCTTTCAACCTGAACATCAACTCTATTCATCACTGTTTAGGGAGAAATATGAAGAAATTCTCTTTTGAAAAAGTTTGGGATTACTGGCTCACTCATTTGATGTTTGAATGCAACTTTTTAACGTAATATTTCAACACTAGTGGGAGCCAAACAATGGAAGGCAGTCCCTAGAACTGTACTATCAGCCCTTCCTTATCTCATAGTTCTTGGCAAGTGAAAACTTCTCCAGACTTTCTGGTTTCATTACACCCTTCTCCCAAATTCTCTGAGTAGGCCGAATCTAGTCTGCTGCTTGTGTTGTTCTGATCTAGAATGGGCTTCTACAAGAAGCCAGAAGCGATGTGTATTCAGTTTTCTTTCATGAGTCTAGGGTCAAACTCAAAATCATGATCATAAATGAGAACTTGACGACCATGATTTCTAACACTTCATATTGCTTCCAGTATTTTTGTGACATTCCTGAACTGATGTTAAAAACATCCTAAACAAGTGATCGCTTTGGGAGCACATACACTAAAATTGGAACAATACATAGGTTAGCATGGCCCCTGCTCAAGGATGACACGCAAATTTGTGAAGTGTTCCATATTTTTGTAAATTCTTTATACAGGTCAAATGATATATAGTGATTGAATGTTTAAAAAATAATGAGAATATATAATAATAATCTGAAAAAATGCTCTAAAGCTATTTGATGATGATGATGTGGATAGTACTGTCTTTGTCTTGACTAATATGCATGGTAATTGTCTTGGAAAAAGAAATGTAATACACTGTATAAATATATGTGATTCCCTTAATATAAAAAAGATTATGATAATAAATAAAATAAAAATTTAAAAAATCCTAAACAAGAGCATCCTTACATTTATTAACACATTTGTTCTTTCATCTTATGCATTTTTTTTAAAGGTTTTTGCCATAGAGCGTGTGAGCTTGCTGTAGAGATAGAGAAGGAAAATGAGAAATCACCCCTCCAGGGGGGATGGCCATGTTACAATCCCCCTAATTCCTTCTCCTTAATTCTTCTCTTAGGACTCTAGGCGTGCATGCACACATGGCCTGCGTCTCTTAAACTGCCAGATCCAGCACCTTAACCACTGAGCCATCTGCTGGCCCCTCATCTTACATATATTAAGACCTACTCTGTGCCAGCTCTGCAGGCCTTGTTATTTTATTGCTTTTTCCATTTGTCACTTACATGTCACATGGCCTATGCTAACAAAATATTTTAGAAAGGAAAGAACATATATTCCACTTCTTAAAAATTTTTGGCCTGACTTAACAGGAAAGCTTAGGTTTTATATATGCAAAAGTAGTAAGATAGTAGATATGTGAAATTTAAGACAGTATTTTGATTTTATAATGAAACTATATTATAATTTGCTCAAATATGCTATTTCTATGAGGGCTTAATTTAAGCATTGAGATAAAAATCAGAAGTATGGAAATAAGAAAACTCACCTTATGATTCCTGCCAGGGGCACATAGTCATTATGTATAAGTAAGAGGTTAGAAAGTCATACAGTGTCATGTAATTTTAAAGCTTGAAAGGACTGAAAGATACTGTAGGCCATATGCTTCATGGTATAGATGGGAAGACTGAGCCCTCGAGGGACTAGGTAACGTACTCAAGGACATGCAGGCCATGTGTGCGAAACATGAGTGGGACTCAGACATTCCCTTCTCTTCTTTTTCCTTGTTTCAGTTACACGTTCTACTTATCATATTTAATAATTCTGTAGAAACTTCATATGTGCTTCATGATATTAAATCAGGGTTTTTCTTTAGTATCGAAATACTATGGTTCCCTTTTAAATATTCAATGAACCTTCCATCTTTTGAAACATGTGGCTGGATGAAAAATGGTTAGTAATGGAAACCTCTGACTACAGTGCTAAAGTTTGGCCTGATTGAATTTCTGAACATTTCTGTATTATATTGTTGCCTAGTATGTTTTATTTGTTTGCCGGTTAGAGAAAGGAAGCACTTCTACAGATATGTTTTCTTCCACTAACTCTGACTGCTTTTCTATTGATTTCTTATTGATTTCTTTTTTTACTTGAGATGATAAAACTAAAAGAGGCATTGTTATGTCTTTCAATAAAACTGTTGGTCTTTTAATTGTATGAAAACATCTTGGTTTTTAAATTGCTTTATTAATTTTATGTCTTAGAAATATGCTTCTATTGCTTTATTTCCTTTATGTTGAAAATCTGCAACTGTTTGATGTAAGAGTTACTTCAATTACTCTCTGAAAGTTTGCTTTTTAATTGAGAAACATAAATGAATCCTTTTCCTCCTTTAATTTCTTACTGCTGTATAAAAAAATATATTTCCTTGTTTATGTGGGCTATCAACAATATTACCTAACTAATCCAGTCCTTTGCCATTGGTGAAAGTTCTAATTCTGCTGGTTTTTCCTACTTTTAGAAATTGTTTTGTAAAATAATGTATAACTATTTAAATGTTTGCAACCATGCCAGTGCATATGGAACCTAGGCAGCTTGTATTTGAATCCATACTCCTTCTCATTTAGTATCAAGGACAGGTCACTTAATCCCTCTCTAAATTTCTGTTTCTTCTTATTTAAAACAGCTATAATAAGAGTTTCAGAGTGCTTATTAGGATTAAGTAAAACAAAGCTAGCATCTCTCTATTCATTGTCAGTATTCATAAATAGTAGTTGTAAAAATACTGTACCAGGATAAAAATATAAGAAAGTATTCTGAAACGTTATTCCTGTTAGCCATTATCTAATTCATCCAGTTTATCTTCCTCATCCATGAACTCTTTTCTCTTTATGTAGAAGACCTGGGATTCTTTCATTAGGAGGTTTCTATAAGAAGGTTTCCAAACATGATTCTATAAAGAATATCTATTTTTCCCTATGAGAAGGCCAACAGTTCCTTTCAAGAAGTATCAGGACAAATGTTTGAAAATTTTCTTCTGGCAAACTCTTTCTCTGCTCCTAGGAATAGTACATATTTGAACAGAAGACAATAAATAGATGGGCAGTACCTTGTGCTGAAATTCTGTACAACTATATCATGCTTCCATCTGTTCATTTTTCACTTTTGTCACCTTGACTCTCCCATTTTAGATTCCTGGGGTGATCAGATGCCCTCCCCTGTAGAGTCTGTGTCTATCAGGTCCACAAAACTCCTTTCTAGTGTGTGAGGAATACATCAGTTTTTCCGCATTAGAAATTGTGTGACATCTATTTCCAATTGTAGTTTAATTCAGGCCTGGCACCAAACTAATGCCTTTTGAGAAGGTTGTCATTGGGCAAGAGAATGAATCTATTTCTGTAGCATGATGCTGCAGAGAAATTAGCCTGCATTATGAACGAATGCAGAAAATAAGGTAATAATTTTCAGTACTTGAATCATAGACATGAATGCAATCAGCGACTTTGTTTGACAGAAAGTATTTGATTCTTAACCTTTATGACCTATTTTTTATATATAATATTTTTTCTTTATTCATAATAGAGCATGAAAGAGAGAAGGTAGAGAGAGAGAGAGAAGCACCTTCTATATGGTCTGTTCATTGCTAAGATACCGTTCCTCCAGCTCTTGAGCCTGTGGGATAGTGGGCATTCACCGTGTGCCCAGGGTGTTTCAGGATGACAGGGTGGGGATTAGAACCACCATCACCACGTAGAATCCAGCCTCTCTCTTGAGCAGTGCATTTCTGCTATGTCACAGAGTTAGCCCACCCTATTCTTACCAGACGTAGTTTGAATGTCACAAAACTTTAGATGATTTACTCAAATAAAATCACTTTAACATTGATTGTCTAAATTGATTGTCTGTGTTTTTGTCCCTGATAGACCATAAAGTACCTTTGTTACCTTTTTTTAATGTACACCTTTCCTCTAATTCTGGACATATCGACAAATTATTGCTCAGCTGCTATGTGGGATTGGCTGTAATCTTTCTTTCCTCAAGTTCTCTTTGTTTGAAGGAGTATCACCTTTGCTAGCACTGTACCATCTGTGGTAAAGGTGTGGGAAGGAGGCCCATGAGCCCAGCTCCGTGCTTCCATGATTACCTAAGCTGTCCCAAGAAATCTTCTAGCTTTGCATATTGGAGTCTTTCTTTGAGGTGAAAATATCAAGTTCTGTCTTTTTAGGTACCAACTTCCCTAGAGAAGCATTCTTTTATTTTTCTTAAAGAATTATTTTAATATTTTTCATTTATTCGTTCATTTATTTTGATTTGACCAGAAAGAGACAGAGAGAGAGAGAGAGAGAACGAGCGAGAGAAAGCAAGCCACCATGTCCAGGACTCGAACCATGGTCAGCCATGTGGGAGTGTCCAACACCTTAACCACCATGTCACCCACTGGCCACATCCTAAAGAAGCTTTCCAAAGTAATGAACTTTTCTTTTTTCTTTTTTTTTTGGAGAGTTTTTCGCTATAGGGTGCGTGCTCTCGCCAGACAGACAGAGAGACATAGAGACAGAAAGCGAGAAATCACCCCCTAGGGGGGATGGTCACGCCGCAATCCCTTCTCCTCCATTCTCTTCTCGGGATCTTGGGCACACACGCACACGCGCCCAGCGTGAGTTTTAAGCCACCGGGTCCAGGGGTCCAGGACGCGAACTGCGGCTGACTACATGGGAGTCCAGCGACATAGCCAGTACGCTAACTGCTGGTTCCCGACTTTTCATATAAAATATACACAGATATTAAAATCCGAAGGTAGAGGTTATCATCATTGTTCAAAAATGTTAAAGAGTTCTGGCCCCTGAGTACATTGTACATACTGATAAATGTCAGAGGCTATTCCTGACAGATTTAATGCTTAGGCAAGAGAGGGAAGTGAAACATTGAGGAAGAATAGAAAGTGAAGAGGGTTAAGTAAAGGGTAGGAAAATAAAAATTTTATGTCTGTGGTCAGCAGTGGAAAAATTCCCCTTCAAATTTGTTAGATACAACTTAGTGGTATTCCTATGCTTCCCTAATGATATTTAAAATTATCCCCCACGACCTCACACACACACCAGAGAGTTTTTAGCTCATTGTCTTGTTTCTTTTATGCATATTTAATTTTTGAAAAGACTCAGAGGTAGATGGTAGTGCCAGTGGTATTTAAAAATTTTTTCCTCTTGGACCAAGAAGCAAGTGGCAGTCTTCAAAGGATGATTTGTTTCTACTCTTTGTATAAATTGAGTATATGCTACACCTGAGTCCTATTGTATCCATAAAATTTTTTGTTTTTTTGTTTTTTTTTTGAGAGGTTTTTGCTATAGGGTGCGTGCACTCGCCAGAAAGAGAGACAGAAAGTGAGAAATCGCCCCCTCTGAGGGGATGACCACTCCATAATTGTTTCTCCTCCATTCTCCTCTTGGGATCTTGGGCACGCACGCACATGTGCCCGGTGTGAGTTTAAGTCTCCGACAGTCGACTACATGGGAGTCCAGCAACATAGCCATTATGCCAACTGCTGGTCCCAATCTGCATAAAATTCTGTTAGAGGAAATGAGCATTTTATTGAATGTTTCTTAGACTTGGTGTTGAGCAATTTCTCCTCCCTCTCTCCCTCCCTCCCTCCCTCCCTCCCTCCTTCTCTCTCTCTCTCTCTC